AACACTCGATCAAAAATTTGTCTCGAAAAATGTTTTTGTGTTTTAAAATAATTCAGAAATTGTAAAATGTCTTAAGAACTTTTAAGTGTGATATATTATGCAATAGTTTGCTATTTGTATGGGACCTTATTTTGTCGTGTAGAGGCTTAAATATATTAGAGACAATCAAAATTACACCATAGGTACTATATGGAGCATATTTCTTTTGGGAAAATAGTTTTTGCTTGTGATTCTTGAAAAAAAGTTTGACGAAAATTCAGGTTGTGAATTAAAATAAACAAGTACTTGGAAGTACTTTTAAAATAACATAAATAATTTTATTAATCGTTTGAAAGGTATAAGGTATATAAAAATGTTTTAAATATGTACATTTTACCTTTTGAGCACTCAAAAATATCCATAAATATCTGTTTAAAGGACAAAAAAATAGATTTTCAAATAGGTAACTTTAAATATATGTTTATTACACATACTAGTACAACAAATAGTTATTTTATCCAAAATATGGGCCCCATATATATCTATAATTTTCAATATTTTATAGGTGCTATTTCAAAAACAAGGTGGATCAATTCCTTACCCAAATAGAAACAAGCATTTCCTACATTTTATAATATATATTTAATGTTTTTATTTAATATTGTTTTTAAAAGTAAACTTTTTTAAAAACATTTTAATATTTTAATCGAATTATATGTCTGGCCTTTTTTGTATTTGCAGTTTAAAATGGATTGAACCACCCTGTAGATATGTATATTAATTTTGTATATATTTTTGTTCCAATAGTTCTGGAGGAGTAAAGTATCTGTGTGTTTTTCTAGCATAGCTACTCTTAAAGTTGTTGAAAATAAAAAACGAAAATTTTTACAATTTTAAAATGTTTTTGGGTGAATATCATTTCATTGTTGTACATTATTATACCTATGTATTTTTATACTCACCATTTAAATAAACATTGTAAATAATTTAATGAGTTTTATTTATTGTTTGAAGATGTTTTTTTTTTAATTACTGGGACGAATAGCGGAGGCTTAGTAATTGGGTACCGTTAGTTACCCTTTGGGGTAAACTCTAAAAACCGACTCCAAAATCCTGCAGAATTGTCGTTGAATATATCCATAAACTGTTTGTGCTTGTAAAAACTATTTTGTGTTGTTTAGTTAATAATTGTCTTACATGTGTTTTAATTAATTTATTCAAACAGACATCTCGCGGTTTAACCTAACCTACAATATTTTTTAAAAAAATACTATTGTATTACATATGACTTTTTTAACTCGTTTTGTTAAACTTTATGTAGCGCTTCCTTTATGGAAATAGTCAAGGTGTGCCTGATGATGAAGTGACAGCTTCGAAACCGGTCGCCAATTAAATTGACTTGTGAGAAATAAAGGACCTTTTCTTTAACCCCTTACACTTAATCTTGATTCATTTGCTTGCTCAGTAGTTAGTAGACGTTGGCCGTTGGAAAGAAAAGGTGGCATATAAACATTTATTCCCATATTTTGGTAAAACTGCATCGAGTCTCGATAACTGCGATCATATACAATGCTGTCACCATCTTGAAAAAATGAAAAAAATAAATCTTGTTAACAACCATAGCGTTAAATATCGACGAATCATTGTTTCGATTCTCGAGATCACATGATGTTATAGATCTTTAGAGGAAGTAATAATTCACTTACCCAGTTTTAGTCACCGGTAAATCAAATCCTTTATTCTTGAATTTAAGGAACACGGAGAAATTAGTGTCCATTGTTGTCACGATCTATAAGATACATTTGACCTATTTCTTTAATAAAATTTTGACTTTTTGCTATCAGCTGTCAATAATCTAGATGAATCATTTTTAAATTTGTAAAGCCGAGACGGGAATTTTAAATTTTATTTACAATAATAATGAATACGACACACCAAAAAAATGTTGTGTACGAGATTAAAAAAAAAACAATTTTAATCCAATTTATACAGAACCATCCGAATTTAAAGCGAAATTTTCGCATGAATTTATACAAAGAAAGGAAAAAAAATTATGGCAGGAAATATCGTTAATATTAATTCTTTGTTCTTCTTTAAGTTCTTCAACATTTTGGACAATTTATCTAAATATTATAACTTTATCATCATCCCAATTTACGAAGAATGCCTTTGTATTATTTTTTAACTAAAAAATTACAAATGTCTGTTTTTAAATTTAAAGGTTCATTTACTCCATACTAACGTCTAATGTGAGTTCAATTCAATATGAGCATGCGCGTAAAAGGATTTCAAACGATGGGAACCGCTTCTTACTTTAAACCAAGCGACCGATATTCGCTTGATTTTTAAGAGAAGTGATAATTTCAAGAATGGGTCTAAATGACTGTCCCACTAAAAAAGTAATCCCTTAAAATGATAGATCACATGATTCGAGAATCGACGCCCTGAAACGTGCGGGCCTGTAACATCAATTATATATCTGTCTGGTGCTGTCACAACCGGGAATTTAACTATACTATATTCACATTTCAAATACGCCCGATGTCAACAAAATCACGTGAACACCTAAACAGAACAGGGCCGCATTAAGCTCGTGAACCACGCGAAAAAAAATTTGAATTTGTATTTTAATATTAATAAATCTTAAAATATGTATTGTACAAAATCCGGACCAGGACTGAACTGAGTGAACATTTTAATATATATGCTATATTTTTTTTATTAATTAGAAGTCATAACAACTTACTTTCGTACATTTAAGAGTTTCTTTTTAAAATGAAAGTTTTCTTAGAAAGCTTTTTTGTGACTATAGCTACTGACTTACTTAAATGTATTATTCTGACTCTAATTCTGACATGCTTGAACTACTACTATCACCAACTGCTATTACAATTGGTTCAATTTGAGCCTCCATGATATTGTCTAGTTCCCATATTTTTGGTTCTACCTTTTGAAGTATATGTTCAATACAGCGCTGCCATTTCTCTGGAGAAATTAATAATACCGACTCGTCAAAAATAATTTTCTTACATTTCTGTCGGCCACGAAATTCTTCATATCTGCCCAAATTAATTCTATTGGATTCAACTCACAGTGGTACGGTGGAAGGCGCAATACTGTTTTATTATGTTGTTTAGCCATTTCGTCTATTATTAATTTGTCATACTGCTTTTTGTACTGTTTAACAAGGGCAAGCAGTTCTACTTTAAGCATTTGATCGTCGAAGTGTATATTCTTTGACAGTAACCAGTTTTGAATTTCTGCTTTCCTAGATGCCGTTGTAGGGGGCGTCCATTAATTACGTGAGGTGTTCAAGGGGGAGAGGGGATAAAACTAAATCTTTCTAAATCTCACTTGGGGGGGAGGGGGGTTTTCGTAAATCTCACGTAATTTTTTTCTAGTAGAAAACGGTGTAAAATTGCGTGAAAGTAAAGTTAAATTATAGTAAAAGTATTTCTAGAATAAAATATGGAAAAATCTTATAATTATGTTTATTTACAACCATATATGTAATGTTGTCATTACTTACGTTATTGAAGGTTGGGAAGTGTCACATTACACACCTCTAAATCAGAGCGAAGTTAAAGGAGCAGATGATTTCATTGAAAATCACTTGGATATGTTGGTTCCAGTAATCACTCTTGAGGCCGTGCATGAGTCTCCGTGGACTGAATTAGAATAGATTTTTTATTAATTTCCATTTAAGTATTTATCATTTAATTTTATTAATGTGATTTTAAATAATTGCAACACTCTCAAACACTAGTCTCTGCTAGTCTTAAATAAAAGTAATGGAACATTTTGTGTTTTTGTTTTTTTTTTTTTAATAATATAACACATTTACACCCAAAACACGAATTTTGAAAAATCTCACGTAATATTAGGGAAGGGGGGGGGGGAGGGAGTTAAGCAAAATCTTACCAAATCTCGCCAGGGGGGGAGGGGGAGTCAAAAAATCCTCAAAAATACCTCACGTAATTAATGGACGCCCCCTAGGTATTTTCTCCACTTTTCTCGAATGACAGGATGCGTTGTCCAATACTATGACACAATTGTCTTCTAACTTGGGCAAAGTGTTTGAAAACCAGTTTTCAAATGACTGTCCAGTCATTTCATTAGCCTTTTTGGATTCAAATGCCCATAGTGCATGCTGCACAAATCCGTCTTGTCTTCGCTACCGATATGACATATAATAAGTCTTTTTCCTTTTCCTGCAATTTGTTTTAGTTTACGCATCAGGAGTTTTTATTTTTAAACAAAATTATTGTACATATTCTTAAAAAGTTGTAAATGCGATTTTCTATATTTACAATAACATTTATATATATATTTTTTCTACCTACCTACCCATCTATTTATTTACCTACAGCTACTATTAAAAACATTTTAATAATTATTACTTATTACTGGTTAAATTAGGTTAGTGTGTTATCTTCTGTTCATAATAATAAAGTCTATTTTCACATGTAAAAAATAATTCTATGTATAGTTGAGTAGCTGTAGGTGGTCGTAGGTAAAGAATAGTACGTAATCGTGTTGTTAAGCAATTATGCACTCACTTAATTACAGTTACACACCCCTGTTCTATCTGCCACTCTTCTTTCAATTTCATGAACCACAATCCCAGGGTTGTGTAGCCTTTCATGTTTATAAACATTGAGGATCATTTCTTTGTTCGGGAGTCCAAATGTCCCTTTTTGGACGTTTTTTTTTGGGAGGTGTGAACGGCATGTTTTCACCTTCATCCGCGGTATCCGTGGAGGATATAGTATAGTTTTATCAAATAAAGCAGTCCAGCAAAACGAAATTAATAACAACAATAACAACAACAAACAACACGTACGTTGTGCAATAAAACTAAACGCTGGGTCAACCAAAACCAAGAATAACACAAAGCTTTACACTCTAAAATATTTACTGTTACGCAGCCAAATACAACACTGGTCAAATCGGTCATCTGGCGTTGAAGCACGTTCGTGTTTGACCGCCCAATAGCGTTGCGAGAATTGGGAAACACGTGGCTAGCACGCACTTATTACGCGCTGGTCACTGTTTACATCGGGAGTATTTGAAATTTGAATATACTTTAAATTCAAGCGTTTTGGCAAAGAATATGTCATTCGCTGCGAAAGATGATCAACAGATTGTTCGTGATACAAGTATGTGGCATCAACAAGAGCTACCAATGAATAAGGATTTACGTGACATAAAAGATTTGAGGTAGTGGTACTGTGATAAGTAGCTTATTCTTGACGAGTTATATGTTGGTAACCAAGATGAAGAGGAACAAAGTGAGTTAAGAACATCGTGGAATATTTTGTTAATAAGATATTGTTGCTTCGGTTTCATGCCAAACATCTTTCTTAAAACTTTTTGAGATGGATCATTTATCAGTTTTATTAGAAAAGTAGCTAAGCAATTTTTTTTAAACTTGTCTTCTAGGTGTCAAGCTATTGCAGTTACCTACAACCGTTGCAAACTGTGCTTTACTTAATCCGGTTAAGTACTTGCAATCGTCGTCATCCATATTTTCATTGTAAAAATCGAATATCTTGCTTTTTTCTTCAACAGCTACTACGCGTTCAGGGAGCAGATTAATTAAACATTCATTGTCACCATGAGTAAGCTGCCTAGGAGCAGCCCGCAATCGCAATAGAGCAACACATTCTTCAAAGAAGTAAAGATTCTCAAAATGTTCCGGGCATAATCGGTTTCCCAAGTTGCAAAATATCCGGTTATGAATCCATAACTTGAGAACAGCTTCCCTTGAAATATGCTGCCGTCTAATACCGCACACGCAACAAGATCATTGATTATTTAGTAGATTGAGCGGTACATTTCTAATGTTTTCGCCATTCCCTTCATCATTTTCAATGTCTACCTCGTCGTTGTACACTTTTTCAATGATGGGAATAGGATCTTGTTGGATATTAGATTGTCTTATTTCATTGTCTTAAGAATGAAAACAAACAAGATTTATTATGCTGCTACTATAAACATTGCTTTATTCTACCTTGTCGTCGAAACGTAGCATAACATTGGGTGCAAATGCGCGAGTTTCTTCCGGGCTCTACCCAGCAAATTTCTCTGTATGCTCGGAATATTCAGTAGAAACTGCCAGTAGGTTTCATTGTTGGCCGCTTTTGAAGTACTTTATTTATTGATGTACCCATCGCACCCAAAACTCTTTATTGGGGCCATGTAAAATTATCGAATATAGATACAAAAAGTGTAAAAATAAAAAGGTATTCTAAATAATTAAGGCCAAGTTCAATGACAAGTGACGGCGACTTTTTTATCACAAGAAATACAGCTCTGAACGATAATATTTTAAAAAACTGTTTTCATAAATGGGTTCAAAAAACTGTAAAAAATGATGGAAAGTCTATGGTTTGTTTTACTTTTAATGCATAATATTTTAATAAGTGATATTTAACAAATATTTAAAAGTTATGGACTTTCCATCATTTTTTATAGTATTTAGAAGTTAAAACGCAACATACATTCTTTTATTTTTGCCTAATTATTTCAGGATTCTTGTGATAAGATTTAAAAATGTAGGGCCCATAAGATGCTGCCATCTGAACAGACGGAATAGACACGAAAAATTGAAAAATTGCAACATCGCTCCCTATGCAGACGAATGTAAAATGGCTTAGCCCAATTTGACCATGTTTATTGGTGAGGGGCGAGGTGGTGTGCGGGGAAAGATTGCAATTAAATAAATTATTCTATAAATGCTATTTTCTGTTTGGAACACAACACAAGCATGTTTGTTTTGAAAGTTTGACGTTTATGGTTTGACGTGTCAGTTCAATTTAATGGACTTTAATAATTTAAAAGATGCAATGTACTTATATTATTTATATATATTATTGTAGATTCAGGTATGTTTTCGGTTTTTATTTTATTTTATTTATTTGGCTAGTTTGCTAATATCACACTATTCAAATTTAGTAAAAAATAATGTAATAATATAACAATTATTTTAATAACATTCTAAATAGGAAATGTAATTTAACTGCAATTGTTTTGATAACAGTATTTGCATATGGTCTGTGAATTTCATTTGTTTCCGCATAATTACACTTAAATATTTGAATTTTTCTACTAACTGTATAGATTTTCTTCCAATTTCCTATATTGTTTGTCCACAAACTGCATATACTTATTACTTATCAGCTTATATTTTGTTTTAGGTATTTGTGTTGATTTTTAACAAATGATTGCAACATCATTTATAAACATTTTGCAGAGTTTCATTGACAATTAACTCTTAGTTATCTGAATCCTTCCAACTTACAAGAAACATAGATAAGGACATCATAGGCAAACAGGTAAATGTCATATTAATTATTGCAACATTAAAAATCATTAATATAAATTAAAAATAACGGGGGACCTAATTTTCTTCCTTTGATGTGGTTAATTTCTTCTGATCAGAACAGCAATTCTTTTGTGCCAACTCGACACATTACATACAGAATAGAGAGAGACATTACATCAAAATCGCTGTCTGTCGAACAAAGATAGGAGTCTCGATAGGAGACGTACTCAAAAGATGAGAATCCCACTACATATGTTATTTAATTTTAATCTCTCTGACCTGATACTTAGATAATCTACATGCTACCCCAATGCATGCTTTATAGCATAGATATAAAAACCACCTTCATACCAATACTATTTAATTTTTTTATCCAATGATTTTGATCAACAGAATCAAGTGCATTTTAAAGAAATACAATTAATTTTGAATTGTACATATGGCGGATTGTACAATAGGCAGTTAAAATGTAGACTTAGTTTAAACTGTGAACCTTGTTGTATACTCATCGGTTATTGTTAAACATAGTTTTAAAAATGACATTTGTTTTTGAATATAACTAGTTAAAAATAAATTGTTAGTTAAAATATGTTTAGAATATTTTTTGTACATACATAATGTATTTTGTAATAATTAAAAATCATAATATTCTTGTAAGGAAGTTGGAATGCTTAGGGTTTGATCAGTCGCTGTTGAGATTATTTTCATCTTACCTAAATCATCGTTTTAATTATGTCTTTTACAACGGATTTTCATCTTCACCCCTCACAGCAACATCTGGAGTTCCACAGTGCTCCAATCTGGGACCACTATTATTTAGTATATTTATAAATGACTTGGCAATAAATTTAACCTGCTGTTCGCTGCTGACTTAAAAATATTTACCTTAATCTCATCAATTCAAGACTGTTACTTTTTACAGACCCAACTTGGGAATCATTGAAAATTGGTGTAATGAAAACAAGCTGAATGAATGTGTCTAAATATGAAGTATGTTCCTATACTAGAAGTATTATATATCTATAAGTTCTTGTAGCTTTGACAATAAACATATATTGATTGATTAACAAGGTGGAGTTTGATTATTTATTTAACAGCCTACATTTATCGGACTTGTGCACAAATTGAAGATTAAGGTATATTATTCAACCAAAAAGTTACTTTTTCGGATTATATTGAAAATACAGTTGCTTCTGCGTTGAAAAGCTTAGGGTTCTTAATTCGTAATACTCGTTCTTTTACAAACTCTTAAAGCTTGGAGATCCTTTACTTTTCTTTAGTTCGTTCCAGGCTAGAATATGCATCTCTTATCTGGAACCTTATTTACAATATTCGTAAAAGATCATTGGAAAATGTTCAGCGGCGATCTCTCAAGTACCTTTCTTTTAAAATAGATGAGCTGTATCCCATTCGAGGTATTGAAGAATCTCTGCTTCTTTCCAAAATAGAAGGGTAGTTTTCAGTGTTACATTTTTTTTATAAAATATTACATAACACTATTGATGTACTATTTTTGATAAATTAAATAAATTTTAATGTTCCCCAAACAGCCATTAGATATCATAAAACATTTTATACAGCAAGTATTTGAACGAACTTGGGAAGAAATTCACCTATAAGGCTAATGTGCTCAAATTTTAATTAATTTTGTTCTGATTGGGATATTTATTTCGACCATTAGTTGTACTAATTTGTAGCTAATGTATTTAGGATTCTTTCTTTTCTTTTTTTTTTTCTTACTGTTGCTAAATTTATTTTCTGTCGAAATATTATGTTTAACATTTATTTCATGTATTTTGTTCTGTAAATGGATTAATTTGTTGGGCAATAAAATTTATTTTTATTTTATTAAGCAAAAAAATGTTTATTTTGATGCACCTACCACCTTTAAAAGTTTGTCAGTATATTAACGAGAAATCCTATATAATTCCCAAAGAAAAATATTTTTGGAATAAATTCCGAATTCTATTTATTGATATTTGTTATTTTTTAGGATCAGTGACTCGAAACATGATGATCAGCTACACCAAGAATATCCTTGATACTTTAAAAAAATGGTACGAGATTAAGCAGATTTGATGCTATGTCACATTGTGGTGCGAAGACGTGGCTTGTATAAATTTGGGATATCAGTTGATAGAAAACAGTACGCAAAAATAAATTTAAATCTGCTGATGCATCAGAGATAGCCCTTTTCCATACCACAATATGTCATGCGTGAACTCGATGAGATTTCATCGGCTAAGTATCATTCCTCTGTAATGTTTTGTATAATTAGGAACACGCAACATTGTAAACAATTATGACCAGGGTTTTCTGACCTTTTCCCTAGGTCAGAGAGAATAAATGAATACTAAATAATGTATAGTAATAAAGATTGAAAATATATATACTTTTAAGAGTTTTATTATGTCAGCCATAGTTTTATACCAAAAATGAAAGTAAACTGAAATTATACATTATAAATACATTCATAAATAACTATATTTATAACACTCATCGACTCTCTCCTGGCTGAAATATGACTTATCTATCTATTAGGCTCTGTTCCGTCTATTTTTTGCCTTTAGGCTCCTTCTGACACTTCCATTCGTTCTTATTCAGTGTAGTATTCACATAGTTTTCAGAATATCAAGTGTTATACCTATCTGATGCTTGGTCCTGCAAAGTTCATCTTCAGTACACCTGCTTATGTGACATCTATCTCGATGTCAAGTTTGATTGAACGCCCGTTTCTTGCCTATTACTCTTATACTTAACCAGAACTAGCTTAGACTTGAACGCATATGTCTAATTCGGCCAAAACACAGCCTTGGTAGACAAATATATATTTTACCGCTGGTTTCATTACAAAAAACTGGAGTAAAGGGTAAAATTATCTCTTGTCCAGTACACTCGTATAATACACTTGAGTATTGCCTATATTATTTTTGATTGAAGACGTATACATTTAAAAATGTCGTTTACTTAAAAATCATTTAATTTTGATATTTTATTTAACTCGATCAAAACATTAAATTATTAGTTTCCATGGCTTATACCGGACCTGTATTTACTCTAGTAGCCATGGAGTAGCTAACATTGTTGCCGTCAGTTGCCGCCACATATTCATTAGTGACATACGTTTTATAAATTCATCGTGTTACAAATTTGTTGACATAAAGAGATAGAAATTTAAAGTGACGTCTTTTATTACTTCGAATGAAAAAAATCGATAATGCAATTTTCTAACCTATAAAAAATCGTGATGATATGTCAAACAAAATTGAACTTGGCCTTAAATAATAAACGAATTGAACAAAGAATGATGCAATAAAAAAATATTCTAATTAAATAATAAACGAACTGAACAGAAAACGATAAATTAAAAAAATATGCTAACTAATTAAATAATAAACGAATTGAAAAGAAAACGTTTCACACTTTTTTATCAACAATAACAACAATAACAAGAAAATGTCACTTCTGAAAATTAGTCATTAAAATAATTAAAACGAAACGTTGCCACATTGAATTTAAAAGATTTAAATTTTTTGTTAAAGGCCACCCAAATTTCCCTATCTAAAGCATACCTTCCTTTATAGAAAAGATACCAGCACCAGTTTTGCCCTGCCGATCTTTGGATCCATCAGTAAATAAAAATGTATAGTTGGGAAATCTTGACTTAGATTCTATTATAAAATTTTGTTTATTGAATGTTCATTTGTCTAAATTAAATTCCATAAAAGGAATAGTCGCAACCTGTATTTCTATGGAAAATTGAAAGCACGGAAAAGTAACTAAAAAATGAATTTCTTGAAAAAGCATTCGTGCAAAGAACGTATATGGGTAATTGTCGAAAATTCGTTGCAAAAGGTGAAAGTAAAAAAAAATTAAAAAAAAAATTTAAAGTAATTTTTTTGTATTCGAAAACATTTATCTGCATAGTTAGAACAAAATCAGTTGCATGGGCGAGATCAGTAAATAGACAATAATGGTTTTTTCTTAATTTTCAAAATACAGGTCCACGGAAATGACACAACTGTCCACCGATTTGATTTGAATTTCAAAAAGTCCTTAAAATACTGTTGCTTTTAATTATGTAGTAGGCTCAAAAGTAGCTAAGAAATTAGTAAAGGAAATACCCGAGAATAACGATATAAAATCAATTAGAACTTGAGCAAAGTGCTATGTGTGGGTATGTGTGTGGGGCAATAAAAACCACACACAAACATATAAACATATATATTCAATAAAAAAGGATACTTGCATCATTATTATCGATATAAATTGTACCAATGCTGTAATGAATACAATTTTCTCCTGGATCGCATTTAAAACAAGTAAGTCTTCTGGCATGCAGGACAGAGGGATTTGTTTTTGACCAGCTAAGCTGATATATCGCCATGGTACCTTTAAAAGGTTTAAGAGTTACGTTACCCAAAATTTTATCTATTTTAGAGAATTCACCATCATCAATCGCAATAATTTTAATTCCAGGACAGTTTAGCCTCAGCTCTTCAATCAACACTTCAAAAGTTGGCAGACCTTTTCCCCTTGCAACCAAAGAGTCTGCCGCCCAGCTAGCACCGGACGTCGTTTCACGTCATAATCACGTTGAATTTTGGTCAAATACGTCGATGTGATTTTTTGACGCAAAAGTAACGTAATAATAACGTCATTTTTGGACCAATTTGACACGTAAATATAGTTGTTGCGAACAAAATAAACCTATTTATGTCATTAATGCACTTCGAGTTTTTGTTATTCATTATTAAATAAATAGAAGGTAATTTATACAACATCGTTTATTTAGCGGTCATTGTGACACCAAAATAAGACGTACTATGACGTTATTTAGAGACTAGTTTGTCACGTTCTGAAATGAGGCATTAAACTGAGCACGTGTACACGTCGATTCTACACCTTTATTGTTTTACATTAAATTTATTAATAAAAGTATCTTTAGTGTTTATAATAAATTTATGATTCTCATTTTAAATCTAGGGATTTTTGGGAATTTTCATTTTTAAATGAAATTTTATGTCAACACTGTTTAGAAATGTCAGCTGTCATGTCATTGTCCAGGGTTAGCGGTTCACGCCATTTTGTGTTATTTTTGTAACTTGTGTTTGTAACATTCTTTTATTGTATGATTTTGTATGTCCTTTGAAGGTAAGTAGTTAGGACGTTTAGTGCGATATTATTGTTTATTTTTAGTATGTTTATAGGAATTCAATACGCTGACAAGCACGGCACCGGAGTATCATTAAACCACTTCAAGTTCCAAGTGGCCGACATAGGAAATGATGTTCTTATAAACAACAAGAACCTTTTAACAAGAGCTTAAAAAAGGAGAAAATTGGACTCTTTCCTATTTATAGAACATATTTTACCGAAGGTGAGTGATTTTTTATATTGTAAAGGTGCCTGTAGCTAGCCTAATTTTGTTTTAACTATTAACGTAGACATTAATATAAACAAAAATTTAAGGATTTTAAAACAAAACCGTTCATAAAGATAATTTAAACATATATATTCCTGACAGATCTGATTTTATTTATCTTGTTTAGCATATAATAATAAGTTGTGAACCATCAAATATATCACTTTTGTGACAGCTTAATGATATAAAACAATTTCTGTCTTTCTCGGTCATTGCTAACTCTATTTTTTGGCTCAAATTTTATTTAAATAATGTAAGTTTCTGGTAGTTATAACTATTATATTTTTGTTTTAGTGAAACGAAAATTTAATAAGGATACCATTGAAGCTGCTTCAAGCCTGATGTATATTCGGAATGATTTGTTGAATATCTGGACACTGCTATATAATCTTTTGTAATTTATACATTCTAAGTACATATTCTAAGAAGTAATGTTTATTTAGTAATAGTTCAGGTTAGTATACTTACTATGTTTCAATTTAGAAATTTTATGCAGTAACCTATCTTTTTTATATAAAACATATTTTTATTAAACATTTTTTAAATAAAACGTTTTTTATAAACATTTTTTTTACAAATTAAACATTTTTAAATGAATATTATGGTGTTTTTTTGACGTCTAAACACGTTATCTGGTGACGTGTTTATCACGTCGCTGTATGACGTCTTTGATCTGTGACATATTGCCGTCACTAGCACGACATAAATTGGTGATTTCGACGTAAAATGTGACGTGTATTTCACGTGAAAATCACGTGTCTGTGCTAGCTGGGCGTTCTCTTAAGACAACCACCCACCCCATCTGGCGCACCCTTTCCGTGACCACTCTCGCTATAATTCCAGTACAAAGTCTGGGCACTCAATTGGGGCACTAAATATATAATGGCAAGTTGGAACATTTTTTTGTTCTTATACTGGCTGGAGGGTGGGTCCATCACTTACAAAATAAATAGTACGTAAATGAGGTATTAATTCTTTAGTTGTTTTTAATATTGGTGTTAAGTGGGCAAAAATGAAAGTAAACTGAAATTATACATTATAAATACATTCATAAATAACTATATTTATAACACTCATCGACTCTCTCCTGGCTGAAATATGACTTATCTATCTATTAGGCTCTGTTCCGTCTATTTTTTGCCTTTAGGCTCCTTCTGACACTTCCATTCGTTCTTATTCAGTGTAGTATTCACATAGTTTTCAGAATATCAAGTGTTATACCTATCTGATGCTTGGTCCTGCAAAGTTCATCTTCAGTACACCTGCTTATGTGACATCTATCTCGATGTCAAGTTTGATTGAACGCCCGTTTCTTGCCTATTACTCTTATACTTAACCAGAACTAGCTTAGACTTGAACGCATATGTCTAATTCGGCCAAAACACAGCCTTGGTAGACAAATATATATTTTACCGCTGGTTTCATTACAAAAAACTGGAGTAAAGGGTAAAATTATCTCTTGTCCAGTACACTCGTATAATACACTTGAGTATTGCCTATATTATTTTTGATTGAAGACGTATACATTTAAAAATGTCGTTTACTTAAAAATCATTTAATTTTGATATTTTATTTAACTCGATCAAAACATTAAATTATTAGTTTCCATGGCTTATACCGGACCTGTATTTACTCTAGTAGCCATGGAGTAGCTAACATTGTTGCCGTCAGTTGCCGCCACATATTCATTAGTGACATACGTTTTATAAATTCATCGTGTTACAAATTTGTTGACATAAAGAGATAGAAATTTAAAGTGACGTCTTTTATTACTTCGAATGAAAAAAATCGATAATGCAATTTTCTAACCTATAAAAAATCGTGATGATATGTCAAACAAAATTGAACTTGGCCTTAAATAATAAACGAATTGAACAAAGAATGATGCAATAAAAAAATATTCTAATTAAATAATAAACGAACTGAACAGAAAACGATAAATTAAAAAAATATGCTAACTAATTAAATAATAAACGAATTGAAAAGAAAACGTTTCACACTTTTTTATCAACAATAACAACAATAACAAGAAAATGTCACTTCTGAAAATTAGTCATTAAAATAATTAAAACGAAACGTTGCCACATTGAATTTAAAAGATTTAAATTTTTTGTTAAAGGCCACCCAAATTTCCCTATCTAAAGCATACCTTCCTTTATAGAAAAGATACCAGCACCAGTTTTGCCCTGCCGATCTTTGGATCCATCAGTAAATAAAAATGTATAGTTGGGAAATCTTGACTTAGATTCTATTATAAAATTTTGTTTATTGAATGTTCATTTGTCTAAATTAAATTCCATAAAAGGAATAGTCGCAACCTGTATTTCTATGGAAAATTGAAAGCACGGAAAAGTAACTAAAAAATGAATTTCTTGAAAAAGCATTCGTGCAAAGAACGTATATGGGTAATTGTCGAAAATTCGTTGCAAAAGGTGAAAGTAAAAAAAAATTAAAAAAAAAATTTAAAGTAATTTTTTTGTATTCGAAAACATTTATCTGCATAGTTAGAACAAAATCAGTTGCATGGGCGAGATCAGTAAATAGACAATAATGGTTTTTTCTTAATTTTCAAAATACAGGTCCACGGAAATGACACAACTGTCCACCGATTTGATTTGAATTTCAAAAAGTCCTTAAAATACTGTTGCTTTTAATTATGTAGTAGGCTCAAAAGTAGCTAAGAAATTAGTAAAGGAAATACCCGAGAATAACGATATAAAATCAATTAGAACTTGAGCAAAGTGCTATGTGTGGGTATGTGTGTGGGGCAATAAAAACCACACACAAACATATAAACATATATATTCAATAAAAAAGGATACTTGCATCATTATTATCGATATAAATTGTACCAATGCTGTAATGAATACAATTTTCTCCTGGATCGCATTTAAAACAAGTAAGTCTTCTGGCATGCAGGACAGAGGGATTTGTTTTTGACCAGCTAAGCTGATATATCGCCATGGTACCTTTAAAAGGTTTAAGAGTTACGTTACCCAAAATTTTATCTATTTTAGAGAATTCACCATCATCAATCGCAATAATTTTAATTCCAGGACAGTTTAGCCTCAGCTCTTCAATCAACACTTCAAAAGTTGGCAGACCTTTTCCCCTTGCAACCAAAGAGTCTGCCGCCCAGCTAGCACCGGACGTCGTTTCACGTCATAATCACGTTGAATTTTGGTCAAATACGTCGATGTGATTTTTTGACGCAAAAGTAACGTAATAATAACGTCATTTTTGGACCAATTTGACACGTAAATATAGTTGTTGCGAACAAAATAAACCTATTTATGTCATTAATGCACTTCGAGTTTTTGTTATTCATTATTAAATAAATAGAAGGTAATTTATACAACATCGTTTATTTAGCGGTCATTGTGACACCAAAATAAGACGTACTATGACGTTATTTAGAGACTAGTTTGTCACGTTCTGAAATGAGGCATTAAACTGAGCACGTGTACACGTCGATTCTACACCTTTATTGTTTTACATTAAATTTATTAATAAAAGTATCTTTAGTGTTTATAATAAATTTATGATTCTCATTTTAAATCTAGGGATTTTTGGGAATTTTCATTTTTAAATGAAATTTTATGTCAACACTGTTTAGAAATGTCAGCTGTCATGTCATTGTCCAGGGTTAGCGGTTCACGCCATTTTGTGTTATTTTTGTAACTTGTGTTTGTAACATTCTTTTATTGTATGATTTTGTATGTCCTTTGAAGGTAAGTAGTTAGGACGTTTAGTGCGATATTATTGTTTATTTTTAGTATGTTTATAGGAATTCAATACGCTGACAAGCACGGCACCGGAGTATCATTAAACCACTTCAAGTTCCAAGTGGCCGACATAGGAAATGATGTTCTTATAAACAACAAGAACCTTTTAACAAGAGCTTAAAAAAGGAGAAAATTGGACTCTTTCCTATTTATAGAACATATTTTACCGAAGGTGAGTGATTTTTTATATTGTAAAGGTGCCTGTAGCTAGCCTAATTTTGTTTTAACTATTAACGTAGACATTAATATAAACAAAAATTTAAGGATTTTAAAACAAAACCGTTCATAAAGATAATTTAAACATATATATTCCTGACAGATCTGATTTTATTTATCTTGTTTAGCATATAATAATAAGTTGTGAACCATCAAATATATCACTTTTGTGACAGCTTAATGATATAAAACAATTTCTGTCTTTCTCGGTCATTGCTAACTCTATTTTTTGGCTCAAATTTTATTTAAATAATGTAAGTTTCTGGTAGTTATAACTATTATATTTTTGTTTTAGTGAAACGAAAATTTAATAAGGATACCATTGAAGCTGCTTCAAGCCTGATGTATATTCGGAATGATTTGTTGAATATCTGGACACTGCTATATAATCTTTTGTAATTTATACATTCTAAGTACATATTCTAAGAAGTAATGTTTATTTAGTAATAGTTCAGGTTAGTATACTTACTATGTTTCAATTTAGAAATTTTATGCAGTAACCTATCTTTTTTATATAAAACATATTTTTATTAAACATTTTTTAAATAAAACGTTTTTTATAAACATTTTTTTTACAAATTAAACATTTTTAAATGAATATTATGGTGTTTTTTTGACGTCTAAACACGTTATCTGGTGACGTGTTTATCACGTCGCTGTATGACGTCTTTGATCTGTGACATATTGCCGTCACTAGCACGACATAAATTGGTGATTTCGACGTAAAATGTGACGTGTATTTCACGTGAAAATCACGTGTCTGTGCTAGCTGGGCGTTCTCTTAAGACAACCACCCACCCCATCTGGCGCACCCTTTCCGTGACCACTCTCGCTATAATTCCAGTACAAAGTCTGGGCACTCAATTGGGGCACTAAATATATAATGGCAAGTTGGAACATTTTTTTGTTCTTATACTGGCTGGAGGGTGGGTCCATCACTTACAAAATAAATAGTACGTAAATGAGGTATTAATTCTTTAGTTGTTTTTAATATTGGTGTTAAGTGGGCACAAATCGCTGCTGGGTCGTGCCTTAAATTTTTCGAAAACATTCCAAAACAAACCGTACCACCTTTGTGATACATGACCACAGTATGTATTGATATCTGCGGTTTAGATCCGCCAAGTGGGCAGATTGGATTTCTTCGTTGTACTTACAAGTATAGTTTTCCGAGAAATCCATGTGCATGGTGGCTTCATTCGTTTTAAGATTTTTTTAAATATATTTATTTCCTTATACTGGTGCATAACGTTGGTATAATGTTGCATAAAATGTGGCATATTTTTGTTAAGCTCTAGCACAGCCTCATATTTTGAACAAAATTTATTTTCTTTCACAGTCTTTAGACACAGCTTCTCTTGGCCTTTAACTATAATTTTTGTTTTTTTTTTTGTTAACCAGTTTTCATATGACATTTTTTCTTGACCGTTAAAAGTATTACAAACTATTGTTTTATTTTTACATGATTCACATTTTCTTTCCAAACAGTCTTCATTTAGCTGCCCCTCGCAACACATGGATTTCAAAATTTCTTCAAGACTATTTTCGTTAATAATTTTTTCTTGTTTTAATCGTTTCACTATCAGTGACATATTTGTATGTATTTTACAAAGACAGGTGTATCGTTCGGCCACTTTAGGAGAAAGAATCCAAAAAGGCCTGAGCTTGCAAAATGTAGAGTAGCTCATACCTTTATAGGTGCTATTTTTAATAAACTTGGAAAAAAGATTTTTTAACGAGTTATTTAGGTACCTTATTTGCTTCTTAGTCTTGTGTCTTGCAACTGTTTCTTTTTTGCCAGCTGTTAAACGACTCTTTTTGGAATATTTTGTAAATGCAAGTCTTTTTGAAGTTAGAAAACTTAACCGGTGACTATATTTAAATTTATTAATCAACGGGCCTTTTAAAACGGTTGAAAACATTTTCATTCTTTCCTTTGAAGAATTTTGTTGTAAAAAGTTCTTTTTTATTTGGTGTGTTATTACCTCACCAAACAATAGATTTCTTTTCACTTGACGGATAACAGATTGGTTTTTTAAAATGGACTCAACATTTTTCTCGCACAGAGAGTCCACAGAAGTGATATCCACGGAAGTGACAGAATATACAAAATTATGCTTTAAACATGTTTTGAAAGTAAGGTTATGATCTGTTTGCGGAAAAAATATCTCTCATGTTATTATAATAATGGTACCAAATCAGAAATAGAAATTATTTTACTATTTTTTACCTATAGTAATAAAAGGGATTTTTATGTGTTGATATCTTAGTTACGTATTTTAGTGCTAACCAGCTCCTTCGAGACTTTAAGGTTGATTCTCCACTTTCAGATAGCAATATATTAGTTGGTGCTGAGCGCATCATACCTTATACTACACAAATAGCTTAATATTGCATTTTATCTAATCGTTTCAAGAGCTCTTGCGAACAACAGCCAGAAAAAATACTTCCAAAATCTAGATGACTACGAACCAAGACTTTATAAATCATTAGAAGAGTAGAAGGCTGAGCACCCCACCATGTACGGCCTAAACATTTCATTAAGGTAATGCCTTTTAGTGCTTTGCATATACAGGGTGTCCCAAATTGTTTTACCCAGGCTATAACTTCTAAACCATGCAAGATAATCGAACCGGACAAAAGTCATCCATTATAATTGGCAGTATACTTTAAAATAAATTAAAATTTGATGACCCACCCTCAAAAACTACCCCTCTGGAACAACCCCCTCAAAAATTATTAACGACACCCTAATTTTTTTCTGCTCATTTTTATAGTCGCTACTTTTCTCTGTATAACTGTTTTTAAAATTTTAAAATCGCTCTATAAATAAGTGATAAATTAAATAAAACTGTATGTCAAGTTGATGATAAAAAATACTTTATTAGGTGACACATAATTAAAAAAATACATTGAAACAAGAGAAGGAGAAGACAAGAAATAAATATCAACAAACAAAGAGTAGTAATAACTTATAATAAGTGCTCAAATTGCCCACCTCCCACTTCCACACATTTGTCAAACCTTAACAATAAATAACTAATTATCCTATCGGTGTACTCGTTGGAACTAAACAGATTAGGCATTTTGAAATAATTTGTTAGGACTTGACAAACTCTAAATTATTGCAAACTTTATTAAGTAAAAACTGCTAACTTTATCGAATGCACTTCTGTTTGACAAGAGACAGATTGATATAATATTGTTTATAATGCGCTAAAAAACTTACCATGAATTTGACAGCAAGCAACTTGATGAAAATGAAAAAAATAACAAATCTCAGTTATTTATGGAGTGATTTTAAAATTTTAAAAACAGTTATACAGAGAAAAGTAGCAACTACAAAAATGAGCAGAAAAAAATTAGGTTGTCGTTAATAATATTTGAGGGGGTTGTTCCAGTGGGGTAGTTTTTGAGGGTGGGTCATCAAATTTTTATTTGTTTTAAAGTACACCGCCAACTATAATGGATGACTTTTGTCCGGTTCAATTATCTTGCATGGTTTAGAAGTTACAGCATGAGTAAAACAATTTGGGACACCCTGTATGTAATCTAAATGTGGCTTCCAAATCAGATTATGTTGAAAAATAACCCTAAGTATTTAATTTCATTTTTCCAGGAAATTTTATTTCCACTAATTTTAATGTAATCTAACAAGTTGGGTTTACCTTTATTTTTAAAACAGATAGCCATACATTTTGAGGAAGATAATTGTAGTCCATTTTCCTCCAAATACGAAATAATATGTTTAAGTGATTCATTATCATCGTTGATAATCTTATTCCGATTATTAGAATAAAATCATCTGCATAACCTAGTAGAGTTACATGCTCGAAAATCACTGTTTTAAGAGGGTCACAATATATATTAAATAATATCGGGCTTAAAGGGGATCCCTGAGGGACTCCCTTATTTGTGGTATGTGGGCCTATTATATTTCCAGATAACGGATCCAAAACGCTAATGCTTCGCTGCAAATTCTACAAATATCCTCCGGGAGTGTGTATTCGGCTAAACTTTTAAACAATTTTGGAATATTTACATTGTCATAAGCTGATGATATATCAAGCAGAGCTACTACAGCATCATCTCTGTCAGTTAGGCTTGTAGCAATTAATGAATACAAAGCCGTTAAGTTATCCTGAATTCATCTTCCTCGTCGAAAACTCTATTCTGTTTTTAATTAATGATTCAAATAATTTACCGAAGGATGATGAAAGGCTTATAGGTCTCCAACCCTCTGTAGAACTAATATCTTTTCCAGGCCTGGGTACAGGCATCACCAGTTGAGATTTCTACTCTTTAGCAATAGGTAATAGGTTCTAAATTTGGTAAAACTCTATTGTATATATTTAATAAATAGTCCAGACCACTTAAAGGAAGGTGGAATAGCATACTATTTGATATGTTATCTAAACCTGGAGCCGTGTCCCTTTTCCTCTAGAGAACAGAATTAATTTCATCTAAAGTGAAAGGTTTACTTGTTTTCACAGAAAAAATTATTTCAGATATGTTATCCTGATCAATATTATCAGTAAGCTTTTGTAATAATAGGGGCCAATGTTAGAATTGAGAGGTGGACATCGACTATATTGTTTTTGTGAATTAGAGAAAGCTTTTACCATGTTTCATATCTCTGATACCTTTTTATTCGGAGATAAGCTAGAGCAAAATTCCTAAGAATTTCGCATTTTCTGTTCTCTTGGTATTCTTCTTGTCCTTGCTCGATTTATTTTAAATTCCACGTAGTTCTCAATCTTTGAATTGTCGAAAAGCCTCCTTGCGTACTTGAATTGCTACTGTACAAGCATCATTTTACCAAACATTTCAAAGTTTACCAACCTTTTTACATTTTTTTGTCATGTAGACATGTTCTGTCTATAGTATTAAATTCAGCTTCTATGATTAATATAAATAGTGGCCAATTAGCTCTTTTAGTATTAAATCGCCCAAGAATTGTTCTACTGTGGTCTATATTTTTTCTTTATCTCCAATACTAAAGTGTGCAAGGCAAGTCCCAGAATCATATATTACTTACCAATTTGATTTATTAGCCAGTTCCGGAGGACAGATACATACGTCGGGAGCACTAGCTCTTTCATCTGGTCGAGTAATTCTAGTGGCAGTGTAATCATTGAGTATAATAAGTCCGTAGTCATCTAGAGACTTTTCAAGAGTTAAACCATTACTGTAACAATAACCGGAGCCCCATGCCGTATATTTAGTATTAAGGTCCCCTATTAAAACCATTGGTTTGTATGATTTTGTACTAATGAAAGTGAACACCTTATCAAGAATGTTCCAAGATAAAATTGTGTCAGAGGTTATGTAAATACTAATAAGAATTGAAGGAGGTAATTCTATTACTACAATTTTCCAAGATTTAGGGAAAAATATATTTGTTAGGATTATTTGATTAACCGGAATGTTATTATGAATAAGTATCCATCATACATGGCGTATCTTATACAGTCATAACCTTATGATTTGTGATTCTGGTCGCAAAAAATACATACTGGTTCTTTGTTACAATTTTCATGACTTTCACAGCAGCAGTTACAACGCTTTTTACTTCTACATTGAATTTGGGCATGACTGAATCTCAAATAGTTTCTACACTGCGAAACAGGAGGAACATAAGCAAACACTTTAGCATGGTACGTGTAAATTTTAATCTCTTCAGGTCTTCTCTTTCCTTTAAAAGTTAGTAAAAACTAGATGAACGTAGATACTGAATTCCTTCTTAAGTTACTATTCTTCTGTTTAATCTACGGACTTCTATAATATTGTATTTGTTGCCAGCATTTTGTAAAATATCTTCACTTGTAATGGAATAGCCTACATCTTTAATAATGCCTTTGATAGTTAAAAACCTTTGAGGAATGTATATTTCATAACCTCCACGTAAAAATGTCTCGTTACAAAGTATTTTATTGGCTTCATGTGGAAGATTAAAACTTACTCCAACTCGGTGTTTGCCCAAATCCATAGAATGTAGACTCGGTATATTTTCTCCATTGACTTTTAGTTCTACTATTACTGTAAAATGGCCAAAACAATCTGATTTAAAAGCAGTAACTTTATTTTTCAGTTGTATTACTTCTGTGGACACTTCTTCATTATCCTTAAACTCTTATAGGGTTTTATATAGTTCATTCTCAAGATCTAATAAAGACCTATTTTTTGCTGGTGATAGCTGATGTAAAGAGTTCAGTAATTCATTTTGTTCTGTAGTAATCTTAGTTTTAATAATGGCAGGTAGTGTTTGTTGTGGATCACTACTTTCTGGGGAATCTTCCCCCATATTGGGGTAAGATAGAGCTTTTACGTTAGACCGCTTTAAAGAAGTATTTACGGTGCGAAACTTTTTGTTGGACTTGAAAATATGTAAAACTATCACCTAATAAATTAGTTTATAAATAAAAAGCAAAATTTGGTTTTTAACTGACACTGGTCAAATTGAAAACCCCATACAAAAGCTTGCCAATCTAAACCACATACCCCAGAATAACCACTATACTTTGATTTTCTCTTACTAAAATTTGATTTGTAAATATTTGTTTATAAGGTTTTCATTCAAATAAATTGAGATTGGGGGGTTTCAATTTATTTGAATAGTCGCACTGCGCAGCTTTCTGAGTGCCTTTTAAAAGGAGATAGAACACCCGGCCCTCTTGATGCCTTATTACGTGTTGCCTACATCTTGGCGCAATATTTTTAATATTTTGCTTGCTGCTGTCAGTGTCAGTGAATATTATTTTTGGAATCACAGTTTATTGCTAAAGAATCTGTTAGCTTACACGAACCAGTTGAAAGTTCCAAAATAACATCCACTCCAGGGATACAAATTCAGGATGCGCAGAAGACTGCTGTTTTATTATAGGTGGTTGTCATATATTGTATTATCCGAGTTGCGCAGTGTATAAACTGGAACATTGAGATCAAAAGTGCCGACGCAGAGTGAGCGAACTGATTCTTTAGCTATAAACTGTGGTAAAGGCATCAAAATGGCCGCGCCCTATGGTGGGCGTGTCGGACCTCTCTCTTGTGATCTCTCTCTATAGTGATCTAAACACTTTATGCAATAGTTAGTTTGACACCTGGCATCTAATGGTGAAAGAGGAAAATAAAATTGAAATAATTTTATTAATTTGCTGTTAAAGAATAAAAAAAAAAACTATTGCAAACAAATCTTTATTGATTCAATCATACAAAATATTGAGCAAATTTTATGTGGAGTATATATACCTTCTATACTTTATAAAATATATAATAATAGCGAATTTAGTCTTTTCTAAGTTTAAATCTTTAAATCTAGTTTGAAATGTGTTATTTATATTAGCAACTCATGGCTTGAAGCTACGATTTGGCTATAACATTCACAACAGTAGTACATTACTATATAGTAAGGACAAGTAAAAAAACTAAAAAAGGTTGGGTAAAACTATTTAAATATTTACAGTGAATATCAAATTTAATAAGACTAAATTCATCATTATAAAGGTTAAGATACTTCTTGTATTCATTGAATATATTATAATTACATAATACATTATGTTTTTATTATAAATAAAAATTATCTAAACCGGTAAGTAATTCGATTTTAATTTTTCTATAATTATTTTATGGAGGTAAAAACAAAACCTAAATAATTTTGGTACCTATACAGTACTTATTTTTTTGTGATAGGCATACGACTAATATGTAAAATAATAAAATGGCAACAAGGCAAGAGCCAGTCGTCGACTATAATAAGAAGATATGGTGGTGGGATATTAGCCGAACCGAATGTCAGAGACAGAACCAGAGTGTATAGCGATAGCGGGGATATCGTAGTTGCCACATGTTCACTGTGAAAGCATGGCTATGCCTATTACAAAATAATAATCACTGTATATTGGAGAAATATTAAATATATTACAAATTTACAAAAATAATAAAAGTATCTATTCGTAGAATTTTATAAAAATATTTTAAAAACACTAGTGACAATTTTCTCGACAACACACTGTTTATACAGGAGAATTAAAATTCAACATATTGTTTAAATAGTTCCTATTAATGTTCGCAAATTACTTAGCAAAGAGTGAAATGGCTGAGACATGTCTGAAAAGCGAGGCCACAACTTAATCTGTGGGCCAAAAGAACTAATTATTTAATTAAACCTCGAGGTAAAATAACTGAGTTGGTTGTAAGAGACAAGGCCCATAGCTAGAGGGAAGGGAGGAGATTGATCCTGAACATAAACACTAACTCACCATTATTAAATCTCTTTCCTAGTTTTCTGTGAGATAATCCCGGTAATGTTACTATCTTATTGTTATCTGATTGATATCATAATTACTTAAGTACCCTTATTAACTTTAAATAGTCAGTTTATTTTATTATGTTATTGATGTTTTCTTAATTACTTTGTTTTGTTAAATTACTTCGCATATATATTGGATACCGAATTGTAAATTAGTCACATTTGAAAAAGAAGTTGTACTTCGAAACATGTCATTAATATCTATGTTCACCAAATTTCAACTTTACATATTTATTAAAAACAATCTTCTGTTTTCATAATCTTAAAGGCCGAAAGATTTCTCTAGTACTCGTAGTCTGGAGCGATCCTCGATAGTACCTACTCTGCAAAGCATAATCAGACTCGGATACTACTGATTTATGGTAAATATAATTTTATAACCCACAAGTTTTGCAAAATATTTCCTAGATATTGTCTTGGCAAGAGGTAGCATGACATAAAAATCATTGAAAATTTGTCACAAAAAACTGGTCTAAAAAACAGTATTGGAGCAAGAGACTACTTAAGTAAGAATTGGAGAAATGTATTTAAAATAATTTAAGAAGACGAAAACCGAGATTGTTCTATTTGTTAAGGTATGTATACATTAACTCGAGGAAGTAATAAGGTTTACTTTGTTGTATATTTCTAAAATACTCAGTAAAATATTTAATTTCTCAAGGAACCTATTTTAAAACCTTCATAAAGAGATTCAACAAATCTACAAGACTTCAAAAGCAGCATAGACGATGTAAAGAAGAAAACATCTTTCGAAGGTATCATAAAAGTATTCCTAAAAATAGCTAAAATTTTTTAAAAATATAGCAGAAGTCCTCAATTTTATTTGTCAACCTATTACATTCTAAAAACTTGTTATAATCTTTGATCTAAGTTACTTTTACAAACTCTTTGTAAGTGATACGGAAAGTTAAACGCGGGTCCTCTGTTTTGTAATAAATTGGATTGGATAGAGGGATAATAGGAATATACGTCAAACAGACAAAGACCACTGATAAGCGGCTAACGCAGATGCAGAATATGTATGCCTCCCACCTCTTCTACTCGTCTCTTGTCCCACTTGTCGAATGACCCATTTTCATTTTTATTTCAGTCATTAGACACAAAGCAACTACAAAATCCATAACGAATAAAAATAAAATAAATTCCTGCAATTTACAATGAGTATAAAAAAGAAGAAAAAATACAGATTTCAAAATGGTATTTTGCAGGTTAGTCGATAAAAAACAATACATTTGTTTTTCTACGATCACTATCCAAAGTAGGCTTTTGCGCTTCGAAATACAACCTAAAAGTTGACGTTTTCCGGGAACTGACATTAAGTGACAGCTTTGTCACTCGCCGAGCGACAAAGCTGACAACTTTGTTGCTCGTCTAATTTAAATTAGCTATATTACAATAATATTTCTTTATAATAAATGATTTTAAATTTATTTGTACGTAGTTACATGTTTTTTATTATATTATCCAAGTTAAATTTTGAATATCAACTGCTTTTTTCATGATTAACGTAGGTATAGGCAACACATTATACACTACTCATGACACATTTTTTGTTTTTATATCTATTTCTTAAAAAAGTGTGATCGTAAAGCTAAGCTAAGCGTCACGCGGCAACTTTCTGTCTCAGGCGGCAAAGTACCACTTTTCGCTCTTAATACGAAAAATAGCTATTATTGCTGCATTTGAAAACATACTCTTCCTCACATTCCACAATTGTTCGGATTATTCAAAAGTTTGAGGAATGTGGTTGCGAACAGAAGTGTCGAAAATGGAGTAACGTCGACGAAAAACAATATGTAAAACCACTTTATGTGTAGTGTAAAAATAGGGACATAAATATCTGTGCCGTTATGGAAACCAGCGAATATTTTTCTAGTACTACTAAAATTGCAGTTAACTTAATAAAAAAAAACTGGTGAAAGAAATCAAAATAATGTGAAAAAGTTACTTCAGTACAAGTAACATAAGTGGCAAAAAACATCAAAGTAAGATTTACTTCGTTCTAGGTTGTAAAACGGGATATAAATCAGATGTAAAGCTAAAGAAAATGTCATTGTAAATATTCTTTATAGGACTCTCGTTTAGAACACTGGCAGTATATCATTCCTAGGATCGATAAAGGTTTTTCTAGAGATGATGCTGTTTGCGAAATACATTTTTTAGCAGATATTTCCAAATATTATAAAACTCTTTTTACTGATGGTACTGTAAGCAAAATGAAAAGGGGAAGGCCAAAATTAAAGGATGATACCATATATATATTCCTATATCTCCCTTTATTCTTTTATTACATTAAAAAAATTGTTAACTATGTTGTTTTATTTTGCTCTTAAAACTTTATTTAGGAATAATCCAAAAAATTTAGCCCCAAAATTGTACTCACCAACTTGCATCATTTAACAAAACTTTTCGAATTGGGCCATACCTACCTAATTTGCATTTTATATAGTTAAAATTAAAAAATTATTAATTAAAACATGCAAGGCTTATATAGAAATAAATACAATAGTATTTTCTGTGCTTTATTTAGCAATAAACAAGTTAACTTTTATTATTTTCACAAAATTATCTAAAACGTCCATAAGTCATGTATTTTTAACATCCCTAATAACACCAGCTCCCCTGAGTTGAATTGTAAAAGCTCAATTAGCGTTCGTTTTTTGGGACCGTATTTTGAGTATGCCGATTCGCCTCCTTATCTCTAGTCTTCATAGTTTAGGCCGAGAATACCGATCAAGGAGAAGCGACAGTAGCTGTCGGTGCCTTTGATATCGGATGTACCTTTTTCACAGCATGACTTTGATTGATACACAACTTAGCACGC